GTAATTTCACAAAAATTAATTGAAGATGAGAAGAAGTGAATCACACGCTATTGAGTTCTGCAGGTCCCGGGGGAATCCTGTCGTACCTTGCACAGCCACTTGATTTTGTCTACTTAAGTGTAAAATACTCAGGAGAGACTTCACGTGAAAACATAACAAAACAGCTTAAACTCCTTGCCAGAAATGCAATAATTTGAACACCATGCACCTTAATTAGTTCCTGACCATGAGCAAGTATGAAGTACTTCAAGCAAACACTGCTTGGAGTGTAGTTGAAAATATATTTGGCAGTGAAGGCTGGGTTATTGCTCCTACCATTTCTATCACACCCAAAATTATAGATATATGAGTGAATTAACTTGACATTCCTGTAACCTTTGGCTAAATTTATATTTTACATTAGCAGGTAGAAACCCCTCCTTACTTAGTAGGAAAGTGGCTTTGCAGAGAAGCAAAAAAGTAGTCATAATTTCAAAAAATGTACTACATTTAAGGAAGCAATGTACTTGGCAGATCCTGCAAAATAATTTTACATTTTCAGATAAAGCCTTTCTGTTTCATTAAAAAATTTATAATGTGAAAATGAGCAGAACTGGAAGCTTGTGCTCTGCTGGGTGTTCTGGAAGAGAATGTTCTGCTTTGAGGTGCTACTTAGACCGAGGAGGAAATAAAAAGAGCAAAGCAAGAGCTGAAAGGGAAAACCCCAAATATTTGCACACCCTAATAAAAAGGAAAAAGAGGCTCAAAAGAAGTAATATTTGTAGACTAATATAAGAAGTTAAATATAGTCACAAAATATTTACTTGTGGAAAAGTGTGGGCCAAGGAAGTTTCCAGTTGTCTCTCGCCCACTGTTCTTGTGGGCAAGTGTTGGGAAATCAATGCACAGAGTTGTCCTTGTTGAAGAGGCCTAGTTAAAATGCAAATAAATCTATAGCAGTTTTGATAATGAGATTAAAAACTTCCTGTTACAGTACAAGTCTCTTCTCACAAGACCTTATTGCCACCCCTTATTCACATTGATTTATCCGTTATCTTGGTTTGTCCATTTATAATTACCTAGCAAAAGATAAAAAAAGTTATCTATTTTATGAATAGGGTACAAGTACCATAAATAGGAAGATGATCTGGATGATCTGGTCAGGTTCATATTTCTACAAAATCCCATCATCCAAGTTTTAAATAATTACTTCAGAATGTATTTTAATGCCTAAACCCCATCAGAGCAGAGTGACTTTATGCTCTAATGGTCCACAGTTTTTCATAAATGAATCTCTACCAGTGGAGATCCCCAGAGAAATTCGGAATCCCAATTTCATCTGTGATAAAATTGAGCAAGAACTTAAGATGTACATAAGAAGCACCATTCAATATTAGTAAGAAAATCAAAGACCCTTGGAAAAAACAAGGACAGTTTTATAAAAAGACTTTCTGCATTAGTTATTCAAAACTGAGGACCAAGCTAATATAGGCTAGAGCTTGTGCAGGAAATCTAATGCTATGTCCAAGGAATCACAGGATCATATGGTAGGAAGGGACCACCTGCTCAAAGCAGGTCTAGTTTGAGCAGGTTGCAAAAGACCCTTGTCCAGATGAGTTTTGCATATCCCAAACCTCTCTAGGCAATGTTATCTTTAGCTCAGTCCCTCTTCCACTCTTCCGTGAAATCACCCACCTGTTCCTGACTAATTACCAGTGCCTTGCTTCCAGTGAACAAAAGGATTCAATAAAAGCTTCAGGTTAGTCAGCATCAGGCATTTTGTAAACTCACGTCTTCCACTTGCAAGGGAATTTTACACTTTATATGAATGATTTAAATATTCTAATTTCTGTTCATTTAGTAGTTCAGATTAAAACTACCAAGATATATTACAGACTGGAAAAGAAGTACCAATTACTGAAGAAAATCACCTATAAATATATTTGACCTAGAAAGCACAGGATGGTGTCAATAAAATTGCACTTTAAATTGGAACAACATTGAACAATCAGAAAGCAACATGCTCAGTAGTGAGAGGCAGAAGATACATGATTAATTAGTACTACTGTCATCTGAAGATTGAAAATAGTGCTTATGCCAGGAAACAAAAGATGTTAGATAATGAAACTTACAGGACAGAGTTGAGTAAAATATTTTATAAGAGATGACACTGACTAGTAGTCTGATATCACAACCCTCTGTAATTATTGCACAGAAGCAATGGCAAAGGCACCACTTCAGTGAAAGCAAATGGCAGCACAAAACCCTTTTTCCCTGAGAAAATGGCACAGCCTTTTACTTTTATGACTTCAGAGTCTCTTCAAAGCTAAGCTGTACTGAGAAAGCATGGAAATTGCATTTAGATGTTATGTTTCACTGTGTACAAATGATATTCATGCAGAAATTCAAATCTTATCCTGTAGGCAACTTCAAGGAATTATGGCAATTGTAAGTTAATCTAGTTTATTCCCCATTACATTCTGGGGTATGAATGCCTCATGAAGAAGAAGAAACATTTGAAAAAAGGTATTGAGAACTGCAGGGTTAAGTTTCAAAAAGTTTGAAAAAGCAGCTCTTTATTACATTATTACAATGTAATAACTTTCAAAAGATCTAGGATGTGTTCATACACTTGCTGTATGTTTTATAATTACCATGGAGTTACACGGCAGGTTATTCAATTCCAGTGTCAACACCTGTGTTAACACACTATAGGTAAGTTCTCAGCCCAGTGGCATACCTTCATGTCTTAGAACTGCTAAGTGTGCTTAGAGTGCAGATTTTACATATACTTGTACAATTTTCAGAAAAATACTCAGATTCAATAGATGTGACTGTTTCCTTGCAGTACTTACCATATATTTCTCAGAACAGAAAGCTTCATATTTGCTTAAATTTTGTGTCTGTCTTTCTGCATATTCAAAGGATTTGGTTTTTTTTAAATTGATTGGTATATGAATCTGTAGGTCTTCAGACCAAATATATTCTACCAATTGTTGGATGTATGCCTTCTTCCTTAAACTTCTAGATTAGTACACTAACATCTCTCTAGTAAAGCTGAAATTATTGTAATCTGCAGTTATAACCACAGTAAGATGACATAACAAATTCCTTTTAATGGAGACTATTTCAATAAAAACAATTCTAGAATTGTTTAAAATTTTATCAGAAAATGTTGTTGTTCTAAGTAAGTTATATAGCAACAAATTTAAATACTAATGCACTTAAAGTAGGCAATCAGCACTGACTCAGCTGCATAATTTAGCCCAACATAAGAATTCCCAGATGACAGAGTCGTATTTTCATGCTCACGTTGGAATGCTTATGTATTTTACTAGGTAATTTCAAACAGAAACTAAACAGACAGACAACAAGGAGAGGAAAATATCCAAACAACCATAAATGTAAATAGAAAACAAAGGGGATTACGAAAAGTGAAAGAGGTGAAAACTACAATTCACCATTTAATTATATTTAACTTGATAGTTATCTAATTTCCAGTAGGAACTCTGTTCCTAGCCTATGAAATTTGGCCAGGAAATCCAGCCTGGGTTGACATCAAAGAGACCAGCAAGAGTCTGGTGGATGGAGCAAGGAGGCTCAGGGGAGTGGGAGTGCGGAGGCTTCCTGGGAAGCAGAAGTGATAGAGCTGCTGGAACCAGGAGAAGGGGGTCTGGAAGGATGTTCCACAAGGCCAGCAGTGGATGAGTGCAGCTTCACAGGAATGAGATGGCAAAGAAAGAAGAGCCTTGCAGCAGGAGAAATTTGAAAATTATTCAGTTCACTGAGCTGAATGAGTGGATGTAAAAGTACCTACCAATTATAAACAGCTTTTGTGAATTCATGTTGATATCAACAGTCTGCTCCCTGCTCACCTGAGGCCCTCAGCATATGCTTGACTTTCATTCTGCTCAGTTCAGTTAAGTGCACGTGTAAAGTTAAACTCATTATCAAAGGCTTCCTGAACCAGGGGTTAAGATTTTGCTGAAGTGGGGAAGACAAAAGACAATATCAATGTATTGAGTGTTATCTGTTTTACAGTAGCATAACATAGCAATGGTCAAGCAGATTTTTCAGGCTGTTCCTGGGCTTGAGAATGCCTGGTTTCTTCCCTAAGCCAGGGAGGGCAAGTGCCAAGAGCCAGGAAGACTGGTAGGGGTGAAGGTGGTGGAAAGAGTAGATTCACTGCCAAACAGGCAGATCATCTCTGTCTTGGCCTCAGAGCTGGAATGGTGGTACAGCAATCATTGCTGTGGCACAGCTTACCCACTGGGTGTGTGAGGTGCTAGAAGGCTGGCATTTGTCCTGGATCGTCGTACTGACTGTGGCTCCTGGGGCTGTTGCTGTCCTCCCTTGTTTTCTCTTCTGATAGACCAGTCTGAGGCTTTAATACCTGTGAAGAAAGTTGTGATCAGTGGATGAGGTGCTGGACACTGAGACAACTTTGGGCAGAAAAAGGGTGAGAAGGCACCACGCTGTGCTGCCGCGGCAGCTGGGGAAGTTTTCCCCCAAGTATAGGCAGACTGATGACACTTGCACCAGTCACAGTTGCTTTAAGGCCAGCTCTGGCTAAATCTCATCCTGCTCTCATCCCCTTCTCTTATCAGTCCTGCTATGTCACCTCCTGATTCTGTAAGTGACTGGTTCCTCCATGAGCAGTTCAAGACTAAAACACAATCTGATGATGCTCAGAGGTCCCGTGCCAGCTCCCAATTATTGTGCTTTTTAGTGAATCCAGTGTAAACAATAACAACAACAACAGAAAATACTATGGAAGAGAACAGGCTAACACCTACTACTAAAAAGATTGCGAATGGGGGTGTTTCTTCTTCTCACTTCATGTGCTAATGATGTGAGACACAGAAAAAACTCAGAAAGCAGAGTGTTTGTTAACTGACTGTGCAAGAAAGCGTCAAGTGTTTGCACAATGAATCAGAAGGAGTGTCGTGTAATGGGGGTTTAGTAGCAGGTAATGAGTGATATATTTTGAGCTGCTGAGAGCGCACAGTGCCGTGTCTGCGGTGCGGTGGCAGCCAGGCAGAGTGCACCATTCCCCACCCAGATCCGCAGCAGACAGCCGGGAACAGACTCCGGTCCCGCTCGCAGACAAATCTGCACCAGGTTTGAAAAATCACTCGGACTGGCCGAAGTAAAACCTTAACAAACACAACTGCCTTTTGAATCAAAGTCTGCAGGTTTGCAGTCCGCAGGCTGATGAGGGGCACAGGCAAAGATGGCTTGTAGGGGGCTGGGTGCCTTGGGTATGCCCTTAGTTTCAGAGATGAGGAGAAAGCAGTGAGGATCAGCACCAGCCCTTTGGACAACAGGCAACTCAGCGGAGAATGTCCTATCAAGATGAATATGGCTCATTCAAGAATTAACTCTCTACTCATCTTCTACCTCAGTTTTTTGCTGCTCGTCCATTTAAAAAGTAAGATTTGCACTTTTTCTTATTGTTCTGACATGTCCTCTGGGTAGATGGTTAGACATGCACTCCTAGCAGGAAGCTTGTGTTGTCAGAAGGCTTTAAAAATTTGATGGAGATGCCAAAAAGATTTGGTCCGTGAAAGTTGTATGAACTCATTGTTTTGTAGCTTTCCCAATGCTTAAACTTTTTTTTTTTTTCCTAGAGGAGGAATGAAAGCATTTTGTTGCTTCACATATTGAATGTACAGCAATAAATTTTTCTGCTAAAACTGTACCTATAATTTAAAGTCTGCTTTTTGATACCACTCATGCAGTAAATCTAAACATTTCTGATTAAAATCTAGACTAATTTATCCTTTTCTAAAGCTGTTTATGTTATGTATTTTAGTAGTATTCCTTTATTATATATGCCTTTTTAATTACAGCCTCTACAGAAAGCAGTTATTAAACAACTGGGATATATTTGGTGTACTAAATATTTCCATTATGAAGGAGCATGAAAGTCCAACTATTTTTTTAGAGAAAATGTTCTCGGCAAACTTCCACACAAACAGAAGTGTGCAAAACAGTGGAAGTCACAATGGGTTTCCTTGATAATTGTGTCAGATGGTTGAGAGTAAATACAAGCCAAGGAGGCTAAATGGCCTCAGCTGGTGAGGCTGATATATGTGTATGAAAAGCAGTAGCTCTTGAACATGTTTAAAATGAAGATAGGCAGCCTGGGTGCCTGAGGAGGCCGTTTGATTTGTGTCTGTTGAATGTGAATAGCAATAACACAAAGCTTTGAGCAGCTGCCATTGAACAAGAAGACTTGGCATTAGTGTACAGTGTTGTGTAATCTGGGTCACCTTCTGTTGCTGCATCACTCAAATTGTTACTTGGACAGTTTACAGCCCAACAGAAATTAAAGACTAAAAAGCAAACAGATGCAGTTGGATCAACCAGCACAGGAAAAAAAAAATTAAAAAATCCCAGACTTGAAGATATAGGAAAAATACATTATATCATAGAAAGATTGTTATATTCTAGTAATTTTCTTTTTGGGGATGTACTAAGGTGAATCAGGGAAGCCAAAGTGCTCTTTATAAATTAACTCGCAACAGGACATATCCTGGGGGCAGGAGGGGAGAGAGACAGGATCTTCCACTTGCAAAAAGCAGTTTTTGAAGTCTGCATATTGTGGGATGAACAACTAGTAAGCCTCTAAGACAGAGTCTGCTATCCAAGTAAAAGAAAGTAATACGAATGCTGTTAGTAAAGAAAACTTCATTTATACATGAGGCAGGCAAATTAGAACAAAATGTAAAAACTGTGGGATACTTAAGCACTTAAAATTTTCAAAAGTAACATTAAAAACTTCATGCACATAGAAAGCATTGCTAGAATGTAAACAAGAAAAAAGTCCCCAAGAATCAGTTTAAGAAAATAAGATAAATACAAGTTTTGGCTTTCACCTTGGGTGAGCTCTGCTCAATGCAGAATGCCAAAGGAGAGAAAAGAAATTGTATGTCATTTTATGCCTTTTCCTTAGCCCAGTTAACTGGGATGACATCTCAGATGTGGCATGAGTTTTCTCTGGGCTACGGCCATATGGCCAGTCTCAAAGGAGAGGCTTTTCAGTCTTGGGGGTTTCTCTTTCTCGGGTAGTTTTGTGGCTGTTGTAAAATGTCGTGATACAAATTGATGTATCAGGATGGAGCAGCTACATCAGGAGCCAAAATCAGGCTCATATCTGTATCTATCAGTGCTCTGTATTTAATTATCTTGATAGCTATTTTCTCTTGAGAAAGTTTGTACACCATTTGAAACTGCCAACAATTTCTGTTAATAAAAACATAACGATGAACAGATAAGACAAAAACAGAAGCAGAAAAATTGACTACAATTACCTCCTTACTTAAAAATTAATGCTGAGAAAGACCAAGACAGAAAAGCTGAAGATAAAATGGAACAGAGGTGATTGCTGATATTTATAAAAGTTGTATCAGCCATTATATTTTTAAAATCAATTTACTGGACTTGTCTTCCCCCAAAGGATTCTAATATTAGAACCTGATAAAGACAGGACCTTCCTTATAGCTGTTTATTCTAAACAGCTTGGAAACTACATAGTATTTAGAAGCCATGAGCATTGTATGCAAGCATTCAATACAAGCTGGGTTTATACAGTGTTTTGTAAACATAATTTGTTTCTACAAATCATACCAAATTAACTACTCACAGAAAATTAATCTGGATGCATGCAGAGATGGTCAGCTCTGTATGAGGAAGGTCCATGAATCTTTATGTGCAACGGCTGTCAGGAAGCATGTCCAAAATCCAGAACAACATTGGTAACTAACTGCTGCCATACTATTGTCTAACAGGAATTGCAAGTATGAAACTGTGGGCAGAGAAATAGAGGAAGAGAAGTTATGATAAATATTTACACATCAGTTTGGGAAGTGATTGTCTGAAGTTAAGTTCACAATCTTTTAATTCAGCATTCAACTACTGATAATTTTTTTTTTCCATTTTTTAACAAGTTTTACAATAATTATCTATCACTACCGTGGAGTTGTCTTTCTTTTAGCAAAAATTCAGTAAAATAATATTTTAAGGTCAAAACAATTGCCCAGATAAGTTGTGGATTCCCCAAACCTAGAAGTGTTCAAGGCCTGGTCTAGCAGAAGGTGTCCCTGCCCACAGCAGGGGGTTGGAACTAGATGATTTCTAAGGTCCCTTCCAACCCAAACCATACTATGATTCCATTTTTCTCCATTTTAGTGATTTCATGACCTTTCAGCAGAGCTGAAAAAAATTATTATTTACTTTGTAATAGTTTCCCCAAGTGTTCATAAATTAAGAATAGAATCTCGTTTGTGATTGCTGTTAGTGTGGGCAAAATACCTGAGCTTTACTTTCAGCCTTTTTCCACCCCTCTGAGGTGCTGGCACTGTGCAACTTTCCCCCGTAAACAAGAACTCTTAATTTCCCGCAACTATTCCCATTTACTCACGAAACTTCTAATTACTCCTTAATTACTGTGTCAAGAATAAAGCTCTGCTTATAAAGAGATTTTGCTCATACTGCTCATGCCTCAGATGATGCAAGTAGCTTTCCAGCAAAGTACTGTTAGGATGCACGTTTGATGAGTTCATAGCCCATTCAGTTCTTCAGCAGCTCCTCATTAGCCCGTAGTGGAGCCTGTCAGAGCAGCGCTCAGCAAAGTCTGAGCACAGGCACCAGAAGCCCTGCAGCTCTCCCTCTCTCCTGCTGTCATATTTTGCATCTGTAGCACAGCAAAAAATGAAATATCTTTCATATGTTTGCCATCATCTTCAGTGAGTTAAAAAGCAACGGCTTCTAGACCCAATTATAAGGGTGCTGGGTTGTTTGTTTGTTTGTTTGTTCCTTTTTATTTATATATTATATCACGGATAACATTTCCATCTCTGGAATGAAATGAAATCTTAAGAATGAAAAGCAGTAAGCCTGTAACTTTTAAAAAAGGAAGTAGCTTCTACAAGATGGATCCATTTGTGTGAAAGGGACATTAAGGACATCCCAACCACACCTGTATTTGAGCCTTTAAATTCAAATTCTTACAAGGCATCCTTAGGGCGCTCCACCTGCCATTCCAATAGCAGAGCAAGAATGCCGGGTTACAGACCACCTCTCTGCTGTGTGCTCTGTCCAGTGGGAACTGTCAACATTGGGAACCTCTGGAGGTTAAACATTTCCCCACGTGCTGTTTAGTGATTCAGAAACTGCAATGCAAGAAATCAGCATATTTGAAAATTTAGCCCTCAAATTACATTGGTTTTGACAATGCAGGATAAGCCACTGAATGATGTATTCACAGAAAGGGAATTCTGCAGCAAGGGCACTGATCAGTCTCTGTAAACAGGTGTTGTTTGTGACTAACGACCTATTAGGAAAGAGTCTCATGGGAAAGAAAGGAGGGTTGTGCAAAAGTGTTTTATCATTCATGCTCAACCAGCAGCACAGACCTCACACAGATCTTGAAACCCTGATATATTATGCAGTATCCATGATAGTGCACTGGAGAAACCAATGATGGAATGTTAAAGCATGTCATACAAGCAGAGGATATGAACCTAATGTTTTATTATATACATAAACCTTTCAAAGGTGTCTCCACACAAAGTTTACTTCTATATCTATCTATCTAGCCACAGCTTTTTTCCCCTGTATTACTTTTGATAAACTCAAAGCACCTAGGGAGTCCTTTCCCTGTGCTAATCTCTAAACCTTTTCCTCTCTGCAAGAGGAAATTTGGAAAAAACCCCCAGTGCTGTTTAGAGAATGCTCAGATTTTTATGGCCAAATTGGGTACTTCCCTACTGAAAAGCTATAGGGAAAGGCAAATATTTTGCTGTAATGTGCTGACAGTAAAATGACATGTAAGACACGGGAGAGTAATCAACCTACTATTCAGTGCTGGCTATATCCAGTTTTGAGTGCTGCTGTGAGCAAGAGAGAGGCAATTAGGGAAAAGCTGGAAAGGGACAGCAAAAATAGGAAGACATTAGAAAGATGTGCCCTATGAGAAAGGGTCACAGGAAAAGGAGCCTGAGGGAAGACATGATTACAGTTTTACCTACACAAAAGAAAATGGCAATCAAGGATGGCAATGAGATCAGTGGCTCCCTGTGACCTCTGGATGGGCAGGCTGTGTAAAATAATAGATTCTACATGCATCAGGAAAAATTTGAGTGAACTTTCCCAACTGAAGGATGATCTATATCAGAACTTTTTAATGAATGGGTTAGACAAATATCTGCCAGAGATTGTCTAGACTGCTGTTTCACAGCTGCTGCTACACAGATAAAGGGCAGTTAGCACCACCTCGGGGTGATCTGTGAAGACCTCAGGTGACAGAGTCCCAGAGAAGCACAGCTCCCTCCTTGCCCAAAGGGCTGTGGTGGCACTGAGGCTCCAGGGCAGCTCAGGAACAGCTCTTGGGCTGAGATAGCAGATGGTTCCCTTCCCTTCTGCACC